CCCAAATATGTTTGTCCCACTCAGCCTGAATCCCCTGATTACCAGCCGTATCAAACAAATTGCTAATACAAGACTTAGTTGAAAAACAACCCTCTCTATTCCCTATCCAAATCCAGTAATCGTCCTCATCAAGAGATAATGAGATGTTGTTCAATGTAGAAATCAGCTGCAACCATTGTTCAATCTCCCAATCCACCAGATTTCTTCTCATTTGAATATCCCATACCCAGCCTGCAGCATTGGTCACCGTAAACTCCACCACTTTACCCATTTTATTATTCGAAAGTGCATACAATCTAGAGAACAAGTCTTTAAGAGGGATTTTTCCCAACCAAACATCATGCCAAAACTCCACAGAATGATCGTTTCCAGCTTTCAAAGGCAAATTTCTCCTAATGCAATCTCCAAACTCATCATATGAAAAGAAGTTATTAATCACTCCTCTTCAAATCCAAGAGGCTCGAGCAGTTGAAGTATTCCCCAACATTTTGGAATTCAGATCCAAATTGTTCACCTAACAAACCACCCTCTTCCACCAAGAATCCTTTTCAGAGGCAAACTTCTAAACCCACTTTCCCATCAGTGCTTTGTTCAGAATATCTAAATTCGAGATCTCTAGACCCCCCAACCTTCTCGGTTTACTGACCAAATTCCAGTTCACCCAATGTATGTTTCTTCCATCTGTCAAACCCCCCATAAAAATGTAGCCATGATCGAATTTAATTTTTGCAACACAGTTCCTGGAATTCTAAAAATAGCAAGGAAATAAGTGGGAAGGGAGCACATCACTGGTTTAACCAACACCACCCTACCTGCTAACGCTAGAGAGTTTACCTTCCATCCAGTCAACTTATTATGAAACCTCTGCACTATTGGCTTCCACATTGCAATGGAATTTCTCTTGGACCCCAAAGGCAATCCTAAATACCCTGCTAGAAAATTACCCACTGAGCAACCAATTTCATTAGACCAACCAGCTAGCACCTCCTCCTCAACATTTATTCCAAAAATTCTGCTCTTAACTAAGTTAATCTTCAACCCCACCAATAACTCATAGATCCGTAACACCCTTCTAATATTCTTCAAATCTCGGATTGATGCTTTGGAAAAAAAATAATAAGATCATCCGCAAACTGCAAATGCGATAGCTTGAAAGAACTTTCTTGAACTACTAACTCAAAGCCCGAAAACAATCCCATATCCACTGCTTTAGTTAACAACAAATGAAGCAATTCACCACCCAAATTGATTAAACAAGGGGGATCGCGAGCAACCCTGTCTAAGTCTTCTTTCAGTATAAATTCTATTCGTAGGAGTACCATTTAGTAAAACCGAAATAGAAGCAGTTGACATACACTGATACATCTAAAAGCACCATTTTTCACCAAACCCCATTTAACCCATTATTTTCAACAAAACCAACCAATCTACCGAATCATAGGCTCTCTTGAAATCCACCTTAAAGACTACCCCCTCCAACCCTCTCTTCCTCCAAAAATCGATTCCTTCATTTGCTATAAACGAACAGTCCAAAATATTCCTTCATTGAATAAACCCAAATTGAGATGGACTAATTATCTCATTAATGCACAAATTGAATCTTCTAGCTAGGACCTTTGACAAAATTTTATATAAGCCTCCCACAAGGCTAATAGGCCTAAAGTCCTTCATCCCCTCCGGATTGTCCTTCTTAAGTATAAGGGAAATAAAGGAATGATTCACCTCCAAGTCCCACTCTTTCCCCATATAAAAGTCCTTAAAAAACAACATAATATCCTCTTTCAAAGAAGACCAACATTTCTTAAAAAAACCTAAAATTATACCATCCGGCCCAGGAGCTTTGTTGTTGTCCGAGTTGGCAATTGCTTCCCAAACTTCCTCTTTTGAAAATGGCTTCTCAAGTGCTAAACTCTGTCCTACCAATAATTTTAGAAAATCTAGATCTAATTCCTCAGCCTCCAAAAAATTATTCTGACTAAACAGACCATTAAAAAACTCCACCACATAAGCTCTAATTAAGGTAGGGTCTTCTACTACTTCATTACCTACTTTGTGGGACTTAATACCATTTTTTCTTCCTCTAACTGAAGCACTATGATGAAAAAAATTGGTTTTCTTACCACCATCCATTCTCCATTTTTAGTTTTTATTTTTGCAACCAAATCGATTCTTCTTTCTTTTGTAGCTCCCATAGTTCTTTTTTTGCTTCAATTATTGATTTCATTGACACCGAATGAAGACCTTATTGCATTTCCAATTCCAGATCCTGAATTTATTTCTCCAATAATCTGATTTTTCTCGGTAACTCTAAATAACCCCTCCCAGACCATCTCTTTACCACATCCTTCACCCGCTTTAGCACCTTAGACATGGGCTTCCATTCTTCCTCTTTACAAAGTTTAACTAGCTCGTTCTCCATCATCTCACTAAACCCATCCTCCTCCAGTACATAGTTAAACAATCTGAACAGTTTCTGCCCCCAATTACATTCTTTGTTCTCTAACAGAATAATATTGTGATCTGAAACAGACCTTGGCTGCAATGACTTACTTATATTTGGAAAACAAGCTAGTAATCTCTGATCAACTAAAAACCGATCCAACCTCTCAAACGTGGGAGCTTCCCTATTATTACACCATATAAAACGACCTCTAGACAAAGGCAAATCAAACAAATTGGCCTTACTCACAAAGTCTCTAAACATATTCATTGTTACCGAATTCACAGCCCCTCATTCTTTCTCTTCCTGTGACAACACTGCATTGAAAACTCCTCCTAAGCATAATAGACAGTCAACATTATCCAAAAATGATAATAACTCACTGAAACACATCTCTTTATCTGCATCCACACTAGGGCCATACACATTAATAAAACAACAACTTCCTGGTACTCATTCCAAAGTCCCTTTTATTACTACAAATCTACTATTAATGACTACATCCTTCACCACAATCTCCTTCTGATTCCACAAGGTTATTAGACCACCAGCATAGCCTATAGCAGGAGATATTGCCGAACCAGTAAGTATTTTACCCCCATTTTCCTCATCAACATATGACTGACAACCTCCAATTTTGATTATTGCAAAAATACAAATGTAGGTTTCTTCTCATCAACAAATCTCCTAATTGCTCGAGCTTTCACCATTCTACCCAACCCTCTAACATTCCAAGACAACATTGACCACTCAACCATCATTAACATACAATAACCTTACTTCCTAGTTACAACTACCTTCCCTCTTTCGAGTTCCTTTCATTAACCATAGGAACCATTTTGTCCATAAAAGCTTTCTCTCCTCCTTTGAACTTCACACCCAACAACTTGGAAACATTCCAACATTCCAAAGCCTATGCCACCCCCTTTGTCTCATTCACTGCAAAGGATTCAGACTCATTACCATTGCAACTCTTAACTTCCTACCTCCTGGAATATACATTCTTATAAAAACCTCTCTCGATTTTGCTTACTGTCGCGCATTTCCCAGAATGACGACGCATCACCGGTGAGACAGACACGTTATGCAACTTTAAAACAACTTCTTCAACATTAGTTACTTCTACATAATTAATGGCAACAATATTTGATCTTAAATTCCTTTGAACATACCCATTTGTTAGACTCCTATCCATGCTGGTACTCAGCCCATTTTCTTGAGCAACCGTGTCCTGGCCCAATATGATATCTCCAATGCTCCTCTCATTTTCTCTCCCTTCATTAAAATCCTCTGACACTCCCTATTGACTAGGAACACCACCTACTACTGTCTCCTCAGAACAAAAGTCAACAACCAACCTTTTTTTATAGCCTACTTTTCCTTTCAAATTTTCATCGATAAACGTATCATCTCCTTATTGAGCACCTCGAACCCATGTTTCAACCCTATCCTGAGAATCTGACAAGGACTGCTGCCCCAACTGCTCTTCATGTCCTTCCTGAACATCCCACTGGCTCCAGTCCGATGAGTTCTCCTCCTAATGATCCACTGTTCCATCTTCTTCAACCATATCATCCAAGACCGAAAAAAAATCATCACTCACTTCTACCTTAATTTTAATGGTAAACGATCTTCCATACGTATTGACAGAGACCTGAGAAGGAATATCAAAAGGACTCTCCACAACAAATGTGCCACTCTACAATCCGTTTTCTGAACTGTTTTCTCCTGGATCTTCACTAGCTTGCCCCATCTCAATGCCAAGTTTGTAAAGAAAGGAACCGTCCAACAATTTAATGGAACACCTATCAAGGAAACTACACAATAGGCTAATGGAAAACAATTCTCATCCACCACAGATTCCAACCTTTTGAACCATAAGGACAATACCTTCCACTTATCTTCCATCGCTGCTTTTTTTTCCTCCACTGAGTGAAAGACTATCAAACATGCATTTTTTGCATATCCCCATCTTACCACCTTGACATTAAAACCCTCGGTCCTTAATGCCCTCTGCACAAATTCTACTTCAAAAATCCCCTTACAAATTCCTGTTAAAGAAGACCTTACCCATAACCTCTCCTCCATTGAAATAAACACTTACAGAGACTTTTTCACCTCCCTCTTATCTCCAACATTACTCATCTGCTGGCCATCAACTTTTTTCACCCCCAATATTATATCCTTATATGTCCTACCATCATGAAAATTGTTTAACAACTCCTTCTTCCCTACATCTTCCACTATGGGTATTGGTTTTTTCCTTTTAGACTCCTCTACACCTACATCTTTTGACCTCACCACAATATGTCACTTCAAGTTCCTCGCAGCACTATTCCTCTGATATTTTACAATCGACACCATTACCCTCCTCACATCGATCACTACGTTATTCATACGCTCCATTGCCTTAAGCAAATCCTCCTTACTTGCAAAATACATAAAAGCAAACATACGACCTTATAGTTAGGTCTCATATTAACAAACGGAATATACACCTTAATAACCTTGCCATGAAAACTAAATCGTTTCCATAAAACACTTCTATGCACTCCCTTCCTGAGATTATCTACAAACGCTACCAACGGAACTCCTCTTGGCTCCGCTCTACCTCTGTCTAAAGAAGCACGTTCACTCTCTCTCTAGCTTTCTCATTCATGTTTTTTCCAACACCCTATAATTAGCAACTTATATTTGTTCCATCTTTCAAAAAGGAGAAAAACGATCATTTCTTTCAGGCGATTTTTGGTTCCCTATTAAATCCCTCAAAGAAACCCGACTGTCAGAAGGAAACACAGGATTTCAAAGATCGGAGTAATTGCAAGCATCGCGCCGGAGAAAATGGACTGCCCTCCTGGTTAGTCTCCGTATTTTGTTTTCCTTGTGCTTCCTATTAATTTCACGAATTCACTTTCCAACCTCCAAGTTTCTGTGCCGTTTTCATTTAATTCATCTTCCAAACTGTTTAATTTGTTAGTCTCCGATTCTTAGTGTTTCGCGTGGTAGCTGAGGAAATCGAAATTGAAAGAAATAAGAGATAATTTAAAATCGAACGGAAGCTTACTGCTAACCTTACTCAGTACAATATTCTTTGCTCTTCCCCCCCCCCCTTCTGTTGCTTTTCGATTCTCTGTTTCTTTTCCTGCTTAATTGCTTTTTGTTTAGTGGAGATCTATGGCGGTTATGCAATTGAAAGCCGTGTAATAGCTCTATAGGTTCCGGCGTTGTAATTTAAGGTTGAATTAAAAGGAACTAACTCTAGGCATCATTTTTAATTTTTGAAGTACGCTTAAGGTATCATTAATAATTGAATATGAGGTTTCTTTGGAGTTTGAACGTTCTTGATAAATATGTTAGAAATACAGGCGGATTATTTATTAAATCAACTCCAAACGAACTTAAAACTATTCTGTGATGTCTTATGAGCACATTCACCCATTGATTACACCTGAAGAGGATGATCTATACTGCTTTATCTGTCTAATTTATACTCTCTAACTTAGTTCTTGAGATGAACTGGGTTAGGGTATGACACCAAGCAACACAGAGGAACACTTTTGTTTTCATTCTTAACCTTTTCTTGTCAATTTCAACATCCATGGGACTGCAAATATAAATTTTGGATCAGTATATTGGTCTAATGTACTCTATTTGGAATTGTTCAACTTGTAGGAAATTCGCAAGATATGGATGTTCCACCGGTTGAAGGTGTTGCAGGGGGAGGGACAGCCTATGGTTGGAATGATGCTGGTTTACATGTTTCAAGTTCACTCAAGGGCTCGACTGACCCTACAGAAGTTCAAACTGCTGATTTAGTACATGTGTGGTGCCTCCCCAGCACAGCAAATGTTGGACCGCAAGAAGTGCCTAGAAATTTAGAGCCTGTAAGTCATTGTCACGCCTTTTTATTTTTGTTTAACATCTAATAGGCACTTCGGTTTAGGGATACATTCATGCAGGTCCAAGGGGTAGATTTGGATGGTCTTTATTTTTCCTTCCTATATCTGGAGTAGGCTTTTACAACTCTGTTTGTTCACTACATGCATGCAAACACTAGTCACAGCTTGTTGTTTTGATTTAGACTTGCATGTTTATATATCATTATCAAATTATGGTTAATAATTAATGTGCTCATTTTCATTGACCTGTTAATGTTTGTAGGGGTGGAAATTGTTTCTTTTGACTTTCATTTTCGTCCAAATAGAAATATAAATTGTATTCACTTTCTCACTTTCCATACTACTACTGTTTTGCAATTCTGTGTTCATCCTCGCATCCTTATGGTCTATGGGGCAGACTTCAGGATAGATTTCATTGTATATGATTTGCATATTATAATTTTATGTTTCCTTCTCAAGAGAGCTCCTTTTGGTTGTATAATGTGTAGACTGAAATAAACACTTGGGTTTTTGTGCATAATTGATTTTTTTTTAATTTTTTCTTTTCTATATTCTCTCTTTTTTTTCTTCTTTTTTAGTTTTGTTTTTGGACACATTGGTTACAAGAACAAATTTAAGGATTGGTTACTACAAGAAATGACTCAGATGTTCTTTGAATGGATGTCTCCCACTTGACTTATAATGAATTTTTTAATCTTGAAGATAAACCTTCTGGCAGCTAGAAATGAGAGGGAAAGTGTACAAATAGCTATCCGTCCAAAAGTCTCTTGGAGTGGTTCTAGTATTGCTGGAATCGTGCAGGTTCAATGCTGTGACTTATGCTCAGCATCTGGTGATCGGTTAGTTTCTAGACAATTTCAGTTCTTTGTTTTGTGATAGGTTTAGATTATCTCCCCACCATATTCCGCTGTTGGCAGGTTGATTGTTGGTGAATCAGTAAAACTGCGACGAGTGGTTCCCATATTGGGTGTACCTGATGCTCTTGTACCTCTTGATCTCCCAATTAACCAAATAAGCCTACAACCTGGGTATGGCTCTGTTCTAATAGTGCATGCTTTGCTGGCATGAACAAATGCTGAGTGGTCCTTAATCCATATTGCTTGGCACTAAGAGGGCCGTGTTTGTTTTTCCCCTGCTGCAGGGAGACAAGTGCTGTTTGGCTTTCAGTAGATGTGCCAAATGCACAGCCTCCAGGTTTATATGAAGGGGAGATCATCATTAATGCTATAAAGGCAGATACAGAGTAACATTCCTTCCTCTTTTTTACACTGTTTACCTTAGTTTTTATTCTGTCCATTAAAATCAATGAATTGCATTTATTAACGGAGCATGCTTAATAGTTTATATGCCTTTTGTATGAATCGAGTAGTGTTACCCATATTATCTCATACTTCTTATTATAAACATGTAATCTCAAGAATTCGTACCTATAATTCAGATCTTCAACACAATGCTTGGGCAATGCTGAGAAGAGTCAACTATTCACAGAACTTCGTAATTGTCTTGATGCTGTGGAGCCTATAGATGGAAAACCATTGGATGAAGTGGTGAATATCCGGATCTGTTCATTTTTTTGGTTCCTATTACGTTTATGTTTCCTTTCTCTTTTTGAACTGTTCATATGATTAATTGCCTTGTAGATGGAGAGAGTGAAATCTGCAACTACATCTTTAAAAAGAGCTCTTTTTTCTCCATCATTTTCTGAGTTCTTTTCGGATAATGGGCCAGTTGATATGATGGATGAAGATGCCATATCAAACCTTTCTGTACGAGTCAAGTTAAGTTTGACAGTTTGGGACTTCGTCATTCCAACAACTCCCTCACTTCCTGCTGTATTTGGTGTATCCTGTATTTTATCTGTATTTATGATTTTTTTAGGCCGCCACTTCTGAGTTATGACTGAGAAGACAGACTAAAGGGTTATTAGTCTTCACTTTACCCTTGTCTACTAACTAAATTCAGATTATATTTGGAATGGCTGATGACAAGTTATAGGTGTTTCATTTTCTCCTCTCTAGAGAACTTGTTGTGTGCTTAACCATGTGTCTAGATATCTGATACTGTAATTGAGGATCGGTCTGGTGTCGAACATGGGAGCAGTGAGTGGTATAATGCATTGGAGCAGCATTTCAAGTGGCTTCTTCAGTACAGAATCAGTCCATACTTTTGTAGATGGGGTGATAGCATGCGTGTTTTGACTTACACGTCTCCCTGGCCAGGTAACAAAGAATTGACATTGACTGACCTTTACAGCTGTGATTGCTTCCTTTTATTCCCTCTTTGGTATATATATTTAACCACTTCTACTACTGCAGCGGGTCATCCAAAATCAGATGAATTCTTTTCAGACCCACGGTTAGCTGCATATGCTGTTCCACACAGTCCAGTGGTCTCCCGGTATAGAGCTAGTTGCATGCTCACATCTCTCAGGTATTTTAGTTACAAAAACTGATGGATATGCTTATTGATGTGCAACAGTAATGAGGCAGCAAAGGATTATTTGCAGAAAGAGGTCGAGATATTGAGAACAAAAAGTCATTGGAAGAAAGCTTACTTTTACCTCTGGGATGAGGTATTATCTGTTCTTCAATTGGCCGAAAAACTAGTTGTATATGGAACTCTTGACACACTGATGAGATTGTATTTCTTTCTGCAGCCACTGAATATGGAACAATACGAATCTCTTTGCAACCTTGCGAGTGGGATTCATGCTTATGCTCCTGATGCTCGCGTTTTAACCACTTACTATTGTGGTAAGATTTCACGCCCCTCTTTGTTAAGTTTTCTATTAACATGCCAGCTACCTCTTTCAAAAATCATAATTTTCCCTTGAGTAATTTTTTGTCATCTGTTTGTATGTGGAATCAATAGTTGCAACCACATGATATGATAGTATAAAGTTTCCCCCTCTCTCTGAGGGTACTTGGTAATTTTTTGTCATGGTCCAACTTCTAAAGGCTTATTGATCTGCTTCTCTAGTTGACGTGCTATAGTATCGAGATTATGTATTTCAGGAGTCATGTCCCTTTTTTGCAAGGCATCATTTTCTTAACTGTTGCAATGTTTGACCTGGTTTGCTTCTCTCATGCAGGACCAGGTGATGCTCCTCTTGCACCAACTCCTTTTGAGTCTTTTCTAAAAGTGCCAAAGTTCCTACGCCCTCACACACAAATCTATTGTACAAGGTATCTCTTTGCTTATTATAGCTCAAAGGGTTCTTCCTTGTCCTGAAGAATAAGTAAAACTCTTTGTCTTTGTGTGCAGTGAATGGGTATTTGGTAATCGGGAGGATCTTGTTAAGGATGTTATTTCTGAATTGCAGCTAGAAAATGGAGAGGTAATGCTCTTACTGGTGGTTCTGCCTATTTCTTGTCTGGTTAGGGGTGACCTAAACAAGCATCTTTATAATTATTGTCTTGACTTGAATTAATCATTTTCTTATGATTCTTTGTGGGAATATGTTATTTACTTACTTTGATCCTAGCAAAGTGAACGGATTCCTACTGGATTCTTCCTCAAAAATGTTTAGTGTACTTACCACCAGTTGAGTTGTTTCTTTGTCCTGCAAGTGTGGCATTGTACTGCGGCTTTGCAAAGTTCATATTATGTATTTTGTTAAAAATATAACTAAGTCCCAGCATGAAAGTTCCAAGCACCATGAAATGTGATGTTGATGGGAGTGAGGTTTTATATTAGGAATGGTGGACTTACGTTTGCATGGGTCCATCCGACCCTCATCCAAATTGGCATCTGGGAATGCGAGGAACACAGCATCGTGCTGTTATGTGGCGTGCATGGAAGGAAGGTGGAACCGGTTTTCTGTATTGGGGTGCCAATTGCTACGAGAAGGCAACAGTTCCCAGTGCAGAGGTATTCATTCAACATCTCAAATCCACAATAACGTATCTGAACTCTTTCAAAGAAAACAAAGATTCCTGAAAATGCAAAACATTCCTTTTCGTGCAGATAAGATTTAGGAGAGGCCTCCCCCCAGGTGATGGCGTTTTATACTACCCAGGTGAGGTGTTCTCATCTTCGAGTCAACCGGTTGCTTCGCTTAGACTAGAGCGAATTCTTAGTGGCTTGCAGGTAAGGCAAATTTCCACATCTTCGTCGGTGCCATGCTCTAAATATAGAAAGATGATAGTGGTAAATTCCTGGTGTACAAGTTTTGCAACTAATTTACTTAAAATTGTATTTATTATGCTTGAATAGGACTTTGAATACCTGAAGCTTTATGCGTCAAGATATGGAAGGGAAGAAGCTCTTGGTCTTTTAGAGAAGACAGGTGTTTATTTAGGTCCGGAGCGATACACTATGGAACATATGGCAATTGATATGATGCGAGGTGAGATTTTCAACGCCTGCAGATCATCATCAGGTTCATAAATCATTTAATGTTATTACTTTATTTTTTGTGATCCCATCTTCTTTCATATTTTAGACATCTTTTTGTACTCTTAAATCAGTAAGAGACGAGCTTAGTTACTCCTCGCCCAACAATTTATATTTGTGTCAACTTGCAGTTAGGATATAGGTATGCTATGTCGTCCTTTTTTTTATTATAAATTTTTGTGTTTGACAAGTATTTGGATTTGATACTGAAAACTTTAAAATTTTCGAGAATACAAACTTTTAATGGCATATATATTATTTTAAAGTTAAATTATTATGATAAATGTTACCAAAGAAATGAACATGATAAACATATACGAATTTGTAATTTTCAAAATATACAAGTACAAATATGATATGAACAAATAATATAAATTGGTGATTAATTGAATAAACTTTTTTCATTCTATCAAACACTTTTAGAATAGGGTACATTGTAATTGTGATCGCTTAATTTTGATGGATCTTAATCTAATCACTACCTTTTATTTTTCTAATCAAATAATTTAAAGTTAACAAAATTGATAGATATACTTATACATTTGATCTTCATTATTTACATATTTCATTGACTTGATTTTAATTTAATTTAATTTAATAGATTTAATTTTCTAATAAGTTGATGACACATGTTAAATATTTTTATTAATTTTAATTTATTTAATTCAATAAATTATTCTTTCAAATAGATGGGGACACAAATAGTGTTGAGGAAAACTGAACTTGGAATACGGGGAGGCTTGGGCATGTCTTTGCCAGTAGGTCAAATTACGCATTTGTGATATGAAATACGATATTATGTATATATATCTTATTATGTAGTTAATGTTAAAAAATAGAAAAATAATGAAATAAGAATATTTTGGTATTAGTTTTGTCACGAATAATATTCTTTAATTAGTAGTTATTGATTGTCTACGATGACTCAAAAAGTTTAATGTCAAAATAAAATTATTAAAAAAATTTAATGACAAAATTAATACACCTTTAAAAATTTATGTCAAAAACATCCTTTTGAGTATCAATAGTCATATTCAAAAAGGCATAATTTGTCGACTTCATTACGGTGTCAAAAAGATCCATCCTTATTATTATGCATTTAAAATTTAGTGGTCTCGTGAAATAATTAAAGTTAAAATCAAAATTTAATATTATAATTTTAAAAATTAAAAGTTCAATAGCATAAACATAGTTTAAATTTAATAGTATCGAATGCAGTTTACCCTTAGTTTATACTAAAATTTATAAATATTTGAATAACAAAAATTTAAATTTATATTATTTAATCTAAATATTCAAATAAAATTAAACAAATATGCGTGTGTAATATTGATTACCATTAATAGAAGATGGTAGGTTAGTTAAAACGGAAAATCTCCCGGTCTTTAGATTCCAGCTAATTTGGATGATCATTAAATATGCCAATTCCAACTGCAATACGTAATAGCCTACGGAGTACCGTTAAGCATCATAAAGACAGTTCTACCCCCATCGAAATCCCCAAACAACCGATACTCGTAGCAAATATTAGGATATCAAGATGTCAAATCCGTCAGTTAGTTTCAATTTTTGCCACGTTTAGGTCAAAATTATCCCTAAAATGATTTTCCAAGTAGAAAATTGGAAACCTAGGCTTTAGGGAATTACGGCTGCCTTTTTATGGTGACTTCCCCTTCCCTTATTTCCTGTTTCTAGGGTTTCATTAGCATTTGCTGAGCTTCGTCGCCCACAGAACTTTCTCGACTTTAGAGAAGATTCTGCATCTCAAAGATTTGGAGTCTTTTGTTTCTTTAAGGGTTTCATCATAAGGCTAGCTGAAAGAAGAACCGGTTTCTGGCGGTTCTTTCTAAACCGATCGATTCATTTCTGTTTTTTTTTTCTCTTCAAGAATTTTGGGAGTTGGGGTTTTCGATTTGATGTTTCTGGTTTGATGGCACTGTAAAGGTGAGTTTTTCTGCCTTGTTAATTCGTTGTTCTTTCTTTGAATTTTTACTTTCTGCTATGCAACTTTTGGTTTGTAGGAATTTAGGATTTCTTTCCATTTTTATGTACTGTTAGATAGTCTTGTAAACCATCTGATTTGGAAATAGATAAAATCGTATCCGCAAACTTTCCTTTTTCTATTTGTTTCTCTGTTTATATAGTTGGTTTATTAACTTGGTATCTGCAAACTTTTGTGTTTCTTTCCAGGTTTCTAAATTCCTGCTATTTTTTGAAGGAAGAGCAGGAATTATCTATTTTTAGTAATCTAAGGATTATATGTATTACAAAGTTATGAGATATTCTTTTGCATATATTAGTGACTTTTGTGTTCTTTGTAATAGACTGCTCGAAGCAAAATTGCTTTGCTTAGGAAGATAAGATGCCACCTACTTGTTTTTGGAGGCTGAAGAGTGCAGTTCAGAGTCGAATTCAGAGAACAGAATGTGGGATTCAGGATTCAATAGAAGTTCTGATAGGTACAGGGAAGCTAGGGTTTGGCAATTATAGGCTTTTTCATTCTTTAGGATTTTCGACACTAGCAGATTTGCGAGGACTTCTGCAAACAGGGACACTTTTGGCTGCAAGATCTGATTCTCTCTTAGCGAATCGAAGAAGGAACATTTCTGTTGTGGGAGCAGTTTCTCGAACCATTTCTGTTCCATCTGTTTCAGGTCCTGCTTTCCAGGTTTGTAGCTATCATATAGATAGCGCACTTGCTGACGCCAGTCAAATACCATCTTCAGTGAGGAAACTACTGAGTAAACCTATGGCTGCTTCTGGTTCTAGAGTTGCAATAGTTGGATATCTTGTTGATACAGAAAAATTAAAGCATGAGCACCTTTCATCATCAACAAGTAGTGCTGACATCTTTTACAGCAACAAACGATTGAATAGCTGCATAAAAGCTAGAATGAGCTTGAAAAACCATGAGAAACCTAACAATTCACTCATATATGGATATTTCATGTATAGTGCTGGAAAAAAATGGTGCAACTTCAATACTTTTTCGGGTTCAGGTTCCAGGGCTTTCCATAGTTCATTGCCTTCTTGTTTGTCAGCTGGAACTGCGCCTGACGTTCCCTTTGATAATTCTGCAAGTGAAGAGCAGGTTAACAATTCATCTGCATCGTCAGAAGAGTATGTACTCTGTGCAGTTTTGAATCTTCTTTTGCTAAATTATTTCACTATTTTTTGCGATTTATATTTATGCCATGTCTGAAAATTATGACAGGAAGATTTCTTCTGGAAAAACTCTGAAGCTGCTTTCAGGATCATGCTATCTTCCCCACCCTGACAAAGAAGATACTGGGGGAGAGGATGCTCATTTCATATGTGCAGATGAACAAGCAATAGGTGTAGCAGATGGAGTTGGTGGCTGGGCAGATCTAGGTGTTGATGCAGGGCAGTATTCTAGGGAACTCATGTCTAACTCTGTATCTGCTATTCGAGAGGAGCCCAAAGGTTCAGTTGACCCTGCACGAGTTTTAGAGAAAGCTCACTCTAGCACAAAAGCTAAAGGTTCCTCAACAGCGTGCATCATAGCACTGACAGACCAGGTAAATTGTTCATGTTTTGGGCTTGGGTATCATTTTTTGTTTCTATTTGCATCATGGGTTGATTTTCCTGAAATAATTATTATGAACGCTCAAGAATACTGATCTTAGCCAAAATTGTGCTTTATGTTCTTAACATGAATCGAGGAATTAATGACTTGCAATTGGATATCTTTATCCAAATGAATTTGTAAGAAGTTTCATGAAATAATTATTATGAACTGAGGAATTAATGACTGGCAATTGAATGTCTTTGTCCAAATGAATTTGGATGAGGTTTCATCCTCTGTGCGGAGAATAATCTGTCATGGGCCCTGTCCAGAAGGTTTTCCCTTGCAAATTACCTTAATATGGGGTAAAATTCTGCGCCAGTTACTTATAGTTTGGTAAAACTTGAACTTAAAATTGAGACTTTTCTATTCAACCAAAATTGTACTTCAACCTTCTTCTGGGATGACTGAAATTTTTGGGTTTTAACAGCAGGGTCTTCATGCTATAAATCTGGGGGACAGTGGTTTTATGGTGGTTCGAGATGGATGCACTGTATTTAGGTCCCCTGTTCAGCAGCACGATTTTAACTTCACATATCAACTTGAGAGTGGAAGTAATGGTGATTTACCCAGCTCTGGTCAGGTAATTAACACATATTCCACTTGTGCTCTTGCTGGAAACATGTCTTCTATTTTGACTTTATGATGTTGAAATTTCAATTATGTTATCTATGGTTGAATGGATATTTTCTTAGGTGTGGCCCTAGCATGTTAGATGGGTGTTTCTGTTGACTGTTTCCTGCTGATGATAACTTAAATATTTAAAATAGGAAAGGATAGCGTTTTATATTTGTTGATAATTGAGAGGTCAACCAAAATATTTATTAAGCACTGGTTTCCATGTTATGATTCCTTCTGCGTCTTTTTGCACATTTTATACCCAACCCTCAATTTTTTTCCAATATTAAAGAATAATTTCCAGCTTGTTTAATTATTCATGTCAGGCTTTATTTTATTCTATTGTTGTGAAATATCTGAATGACCTAAATCTTCTGTCCAACTCAGGTCTTTGCAGTTCCTGTTGCTCCAGGGGATGTTGTCATTGCTGGTACAGATGGGCTGTTTGATAACTTGTACAATAACGAAATTACTGCAGTGGTGGTTCATGCAGTGAGAGCTGGTTTGGGGCCTCAAGTGACTGCACAGAAGATAGCAGCTTTAGCTCGGCAACGAGCACAGGATAGAGATCGACAAACACCTTTCTCAACTGCTGCTCAAGATGCTGGATTCCGCTATTATGGTGGAAAGCTTGATGATATCACTGTTGTTGTGTCATACATTACTAGCTCAGAGGGAGTATGTTCTTTCTCTCTTGCATTTGCTCTTAATGATTTCTTTCTTAAATTAAGGGAACTAAAAACCATTTTCTCGTTTACTTAGCTACAACAATTCCTGGTTTTATATGATATTCTTTCCTAACACAAATGACTTTTCCTAGCTAGCCTTGCATCTTGGGCATTAAGCTAGGCTAAAGGCTTTAGGAATAAGAGTTGAGTTTTGGGCTATCTCTTTCCCCTTTGATCTGTGTTAAAATAAACATGGGGGGGGGGGGGGTTCCATTTGGTTGGTTTTTATGAAGCCTTTTGGTTTTAAAAAAATAAATATAAGTCTCTCCTATTGTTTTGAATTCATGTTTACTTGTTATTTTATTTTAATTCTTACTTAATGCAGGAGAACAAGTCTCGATGAAGTTAGTGAAGCTAGGTTTGCACGATTTATCGTTCGGTCGATCGGAATTTTGTTATAAGAAGGATTGTTGATCAGTTGGAATTGGACGATGGAATGGACTGATGGATCTTTTGTTCTATGGTGTTTTATTAACTGTGTTTCTTGTTTCTTCCATATTCCTTTATTGTCTTTCTGTCTATCAAATGAATCCATGTTGAAACCTCAACATTTTTGTAAATATATGTTACCGGTAGTATTTCTTGACTCGAGCTTATTTTATATATACATGAAATTAAATGTTGTTGCTGGAAAAATTAATTAAAAAAAGGGATCTTCCTCTGTTCCAGTTCCTGTTAAAGTTGGCTTTGATCAGTTCAAATGAGAGAATTGGAAGCTTTGTTTAGTATGATGCATAAAATGAGATATTGTAATTGGTAAAAAGATAATTCAATTAAATCAATGGATTGAACTCTTAACACAAATGATTTCTCTCACCAAAAACAGTTTAATCATTCCATCTTCTCAAAATAAATAGTCAAATGAGATGCACCAGATCTAAATATCGTCTTCTCTACTGAGAATCAACGAGGACCCTAAACCCTAGATCTTAGATTTGTTAAAGGAAAAGCCTTTCATCCATCGTTCTTTGCTTGCATTTACGAAAGAAATGATGGCGGCGGTCACTTGGGGGATCTCCCAGCAATCTCACGTCTCCCGATGCTGCTCACTGTTGTTAGTCCCAACACCTCAAAGTGGTTTGATTGAAATCAAATTGAAAAATTCAGTGATTTAATTGATATTTTTTTGTTCGAGGGTCAAAATAATATTAATCTCATAATTTAGTGAAAGAAGTTTAGCTTTATTTTTTATGATTAAGAGTTGTTGCATCGTCTACCGCATAGTTTGTGTGATAGTCCCTTGTAAATTTGGCTTTTTGTTGCCCGAAATTGCTGAGAAATTGCGAAGGATAACAATGGTTGTCTCTTTGTTGTCAACTTGTAAAGAAAAAGCATAATCTAAAGTTGGTTTTGATTCTATATCTTTGTCTGAATGAAGATTGTAACACATTGTGTCATTTTGATTTAAGCAATGTGAGAAGACATGTTTCTGGTTTCTGTTTGGACAAGTGTCAGGGGGTCCTTTCATAATGGTTATCATGTTCATACATTTCTGAATCGACCAATCACAACCTATCACTTTCATTCCAAATAAATAGATCAAATCTGGATTTTTCATTTCTGTGTGTTTTTCTTTCTGGATTTTCTGACTTGGGTTTCTGGGGAAAATTCACTCAGAATCACTTGTATCACAGAAAAATCGAAAATTTTCCATCGACATGCAAAATAGACTTAAAAGGAAAACCTTTTGTTTTTTTGGCATTTTTCTACTCTTATCCATAGATAAATAGACTGGCCACTTAGCTTTTTTGTGGCTTAAATCTTTTGATAAATCTCTTTCTTTTCCTTCAACTTTCTCTATCAAAATTTCAAAAAAAAAAATCTTTTTTTCCTTTATTTTTCTATGAAACTTTCTCAGCTTCATCAACAGAAAACATGTTCTGCAAGTTCATTTATGGTTACCCTTTTAACAAACTTCATCCTATTTCCCGCCAATCTCCCATACAACAATGAAGATGATGCATGAATATTCACAGAAAGAAAAACTTTCTTTTAGGCTATAGTCCTCAAAAAAACATTCATGGACTTCAACTCAGACATAGATTTCAATGATGTCTTTGGTGGTCCACCAAGGAGGTCATCAGTTCAAGAGACGAGGTACAGTTTTGGTGAAAACCTGGATTCATCATCTTCAGGTTTTGATGAAACAGTGGTTGCACACCGAAATCCATGGTCAGGTCTGAGCGAAAAGCCGGTGTTCGGAGAAGAAGGGACTACGAATCATCGAAGAAGATACTCGAAAAACGACTTCTTTGATGATATTTTTAGAGGGAATCAGCCTTTGACTTGTTCTCCAAAGAAGTACGAGGGGAAGGACCCTTTTGAATCAGCTTCACAGCTATTGAGTCCTTGTAGGCCTTTGCCACCAAAGGCTGAACCTTTTAGCAGTTCATTTCCTTCTCAATTCAGGTTCTGAATTTCACTCTTTGGTCTTCATTTTGTTACATTTAATATTGTCTTGTAACAGTGTTTCATATTGTCCCTAAATTGCTCTAAATAATGTCCTTTATATACTTACCATATGCTGTTGGTTGATGAAGCTGAAGCCATTGAAAACCTTAGAAAAAATCGAATATACCCGTATTAGACACATACCCGAATCTAATATTTACATCTAAATCCGAATAACATGGTACATTTATAAAGTTAGCCAATGGCTTACTTATGCTACCTTTTAACTTCCCAGCCTTCCTGCCAAATTGAACAAAGGAGTGGACCTCCCTATTTCTAAAAGCAAGGATGGCTCTTCAAATGGTTCAAGTTACCATGCATATTCTCCTATGACAAGATTCTTAGGCCAAGCAAATCATGATAAAGAACAGGAAACGAGAAGTGCTTTCAGAGGTGATTCGAAAGAAGATTCAAGCAGTTCGGGAATTACTGGAAACGAAAACCGGTTTCACTTCTCGATATACAAATGGGCAGACAAAGGAGGTGTGCCATTTGCAATTCCTCTAAGGGGAATTCATAGGTTCAAAGAAAAGGATAAACTGCAGAGATGCTCAAGTGCTAATGGTTGGATAGCTTGTGAAAGTATAGCAATGGAACCAAAAGTGAATTTTCATAACAATTTCAGCTCTACTGATAGAATGTCATCAAATGACAAGAATAAACACAGTTTTCCTATTGATTGGAGGAATGAAGTCAATGAACCGGTACAAATTATGGAGGAAGGCAACATTCCGAAGCCCGAGTCAGAAAGTTGGCCTAAAAGTACTGATAAGAAGGTTTATGGTGACACTGTCTTGCCTAGTTCAAAGGCAGAAAACAAGACCCAGTATTCCCCTAGGAATTCATGGGATAATGGAAAAGGCAGAGATAGAGGAATGGTCAAAGAGTTCATTAAAATTTTCAACCAGGAGGCTTCACCGAAACTTGGCGCTGACATCGCTTCTGAGAATCATAGCTCTAGATTGAAGCAAAGACATAATGCAAAGCCAGAGATTGAACCAAGAGTTAGTATGAATCAAAAGGATGAGAAAACTCACATGCCTAAAATGCAAAAGGAGAAGAAAATATCTGCAGATGTTCATGTAGGCGGTAGTATGTCGAACAGTGCATCAGAAATGAATACTAATGACTCAGAAAAAGACACTGGTTAGTTCATCTGGTTTTCTATGTTTACATCATTGATATATTGTTTTAATGAATACACCATGAATTTTCAAATGTTCAGTACTAATCATCCACTTACTCCATGCTGGCATCAGTTTCTGATGGCTCCAAGAGTATTGCTGAAGATCCAACAGAATCATCCGAGGTCAACTTTTCGGTATGCCATTCAATTCATGATTTCACTTCATGTCTATCTGTACATCTCCTGCAAAATAGTCGATATATTCTGGTTTTCGATCCGACTGTGCGTTGTATTGATATATGAAAGTCAATATTTGACTGCATAACAGATAGAAGACCTGACACTAGTTTCAGAAGAGAAATTTTTTCCAGAATATGGCATGGAACATGAAGAAATCCAGGTAACAAATAGTACACTAAAAGAAGCTATAAACATATCCACAAACACCTATGTTGCTTCACGTTTTTTTCAGCCAGATAGTAATTCATTGTATTGCAGGCCATTGATGCTAAAATACGGCAATGGTCAAATGGAAAACAAGGAAATATCCGTTCACTGTTGTCAACCTTACAATATGTAAGCTATGTTGTTCCTGCTCTTTATTTTTTCTCGAAATATTTATGTCCAACGCTCATATTGAACACACGGGCATTGGATACGACTTCCAAGGATCCTCGAAATACATTGAAAAACATATAAAAATCCGACCGTGCCTACACATACCAACACTCGCAATGAAGTCACGAGTAACATAGTTGTATGAAACAGGTTCTTTGGGCCGATAGCGGTTGGAAACCAGTGCCACTTACTCATATAATCGAAGGACGAGCCGTTAAAAAATCATACCAAAAAGCTCTGCTGTATCTTCATCCAGATAAACTACAGCAGAAGGGAGCTGCCTCATACAAAAAATACATTGCAGAAAAAGTCTTCGACATTCTTCAGGTAATGTATAATTCCTTTTAAGCATTTCTTCTCATATTGATTTCAGTAAAGGTCCCAATATCTATATCCGAGTATTCCGAAACATAATCGAAAACTCGCATCCGAATCCTAGTCTTTTCATAGGGGTAATTCTTTGTGATAACAGAGGTGAAAGCTTAGAAACTTGTACATGGAATCGGTGTTGGCCTACAAAATGTGTTTGATATGATTAATTATTGTACTTCAAATAATCTGCAAGTTTATACAACTGGACAAGCGCTCCCAGACAGACCACATAGGAAACTGCATAGGCTGAAGTTTCATACACATGGGGTGACTGGTTGTTTCCCCACAATCTATTTAACCTACCTACATTTCTTCTTATAGGACAAAAGCCCTAGCTGCAACTTATCACCGTGTTGGTCCGGACTTCGAGTTTTTTTATTTGAAGTAGTCGTGTCGGACACTTGTATTCGATAAATGATAATATCTTTTGATAATAATTCGAATACATGAAAAAAACCTTTTGTGATGCATGTGATTATGTTTTAACATCTATGAGGTGCAAGACAAATTTGATTTCAGTTCAACTCTCGTCATTGCAGGATGCGTGGACTCAGTTCAACTTGCTCGATTCGATCTGATTTACTATTTGTTCAACCGCGACATTTCATCTATTCAAAAATGAAACAAAATGCAAGAGCTCGGGATAAGAGGAGAATGCACATGATTAATACATCTTGAGATATCTTTTTTATTGTTTACATGCTTTATTTGTACTGCATTGGAGTTTAAAGAAGAATTCAAATTCAATCTTTAGAGAAAAAAAATGATTGGTTGATTGAATAAAATAGAACAGGAAAAATGGAGATAGAAAATAAAGGGTCCATCAGAGTTTGGCTTCATGTGAGCAGAGCCTGCAACAATGCTCTGATTGGTGAAGAAGAGATGAGAAATATAGTGTCGCTCACTCTCCTCAATTTCATGCCGTTTTGACTGTGACACGCTTGTCGTTTTATGTTTCCCCCTCACTGTGGGGGAAATTGTTATCTTTCCTTGCTATTTACATATAACTTGCTGCCATATAAGTAAGTATACAGTACCTTAATGTCCTTTGCTTAATATAAATTTCAATTCTTTAATATCAATCGAATCTTAATTAAATTAATATTATTGTTATTACAATACCGAGCATATCACCGGTAAAATTATTATTATTTCTTTCTTTTTGAATTGCTTTAATGTTTATGTTAAATAATTATTTTTAAGATTCAAAATTATTTTATTTTCAACTTCTCAATAGATTAATATTTACATTAGCTAAAATCAAACGTTTAATTATATGTATCATTTATAATATATTCATATTTAAGTAGGTAACTCACATGATAACCGGAGCCCAATTAATAATTCATAACTAATTCTATATAGAAAAGCAATTGTAATTTTAATTTTCTTAAAAAAATCAAAATCTAATCATAATCTTATTCAAGGAGGATTAAGCGAACGTGGGATGGGAATCATGTGATACAGTTTGTTTTTATTTAACCAAAGAAAATTCCAAGCGATGTTAAATTTAAAATTAGATATTTGAATAATTCGACCCACAACTTTAATGGAAAAAGTTCATAAAAAATGTGGGGAAAACAGTAAAATTAAGGGAAAGAAAGCGTGGAAGTGATTGAGGACGGAGTGAAAAAATAAAAAGGGGGTGGGGGAACAAAGAAAGGGGGCGAGATTGGGAGATAGGGAGAGGGAGGGAGATTGGGGGAGAGAGAGGAAAAGCTTAGCCTTGTCTCTTTCCTCGTCTTCCTTTAAAGCTTTGAGCTATTTCCAGTTTTCAGGCGGGGGGAGCTTAAGCTTTTATCCTTCATCTCTCTTTAACAATAAACGTCTCATCATCATCATCGTCATCTTATTCTCTTCTTCTTCTTCGTATTGTTTTCTCTCCGTTCGCCGCCATACAGAATCTCGAAGCCTTTCCTTTAAAGGCAACTCACCTTCGATTCTGTAGTGGCGGCTTGCTTTTCGTTCAACGCCGAATGGCCTTCTCTCGACCTGTATGCTCTCTCTCCCATTTTATTATTTTTTTACGAAAAATGCTTTTGGCTATGATCATTTGATGAAATTATGAGTTTTAATCTGTTTGATTCTCTGATCTTTCGCATTGTTGTTCTTCTGTTTTTAATTTCTTCTGGATCTGATGTGATTCTTTTCTTCTTGTCAAATTTATTTATGTTCCTTTTCGCGGAGTACCAATAACGTTTCTCCTTTTATTTTCATATACACAAATAAATAAATTATATTTCCATCTGGGAATGTATTTGGAAATATGCTGGTTTGATGGTTAAATTTGCCGCTAAAAGTTTCTGTCCCCCCTCAATTCGGACATGTAATTGGTTTATTTTTCCTTTTCATGGCTATAGGTGTTATTTCCTTGATATATCTGGGAAAGTTTCGCATCAATGCAGGGTTAATTAACTAGTTATGTTATCATTTACATGGTTTTGGTTTTTTATTTTATGGTAACAATAGTTTTTAATGTGTGTAAGAGTATATAAAAAATCAAGCATTTTTATACGTGATTTTTTTTATAATATGAAAAACCAGTTTGCTTCTCTTTGTATTTGACTTGTTCCACTGCTGGTCTTAGGGTGTGTTTGGTTGAGTAGAAAGTTGGAAAGAAAATTTGATGCGTAATAGAAGTGGGAGGAAAGAAACTAAGATAGAGCCATATTCCATCCTAATGCAGAAGAACAAATCAAGAGAAAAAACGAAAGCGATGTTAGTTCAAAAGTTTCATTTTCTTTCCTCTCCTTTTCTAATTCTAACCCCATTTTCCATCTTTCCATTTTTCTATTCTCTCTACCAAGCATAGCCTTATAAATGTTAATTGCTCTAACTGAAGGATAACAATTAACCATTGCACTTAACCTTTGCTTCGGGACGTCTCTGATATTTGGTATTCGTTGAACGAGGAATTTGTAATGTCAACAGATTAAACTAAGGGATAGTCTTTGGTAAAAATACTTGTATAGATGTTGTGCAGTCTTTGAATACAAGAGCGGTCAATTCTATTAGAGGGTTTTTTTCGACTTATTTTCCGTTATCCGTCATTGTCTTGTTCTTCCTATATGATGATTATGAAATAGCGTACGTACTTTAAGACAGACTGCTAACGTTTGCTAATTTTACTCCAGGTTGTGTAAGCATTAATTGAAGTCTGTTACTATCATATAAGAAGTCCGAGCTGTACACCTGTGTATCTCAACGTATACGACCTAACGCCCACAAATGGTTATTTTTACTGGGCAGGCCTTGGTATCTTTCATTCTGGTGTCGAAGGTTGGTTGATAACATTTTTACTAGAAACGATTTTAATTCTAGTTTGTCCTTGCATATAATTTCTCAGCTAATTAATTGAGTTGGAAATATAGTGGTAGAAGCAATACTAAATTGCCGGCATTATAACATTTTATGACTGCACTGCACTTAAAATTATGTCATAAGATGAAGCAATGCACTTGAATTAAATATGCAATATACAGACTTGTGTCTTAGCTATTGGGTTTTTGAGTTTTAAGTCCCTTACTCTGTATAGTTCATGGTGTGGAGTATGCATTTGGAGCTCATGACTACCCAACCAGTGGTGTTTTCGAGGTTGAGCCACGACAGTGCCCGGGATTCAAGTTTAAGAAATCGATATTCATTGGAACCACATCATTGGACCCTGCACAGGTAAGGGATTTCATAGAGCACTACTCGGAAAGGTACAATGGAGATACATATCACTTGATTGTCAAGAACTGCAACCATTTCTGTGCTGATATTTGTAAGCAGCTGACAGGTAAACAAATTCCTAAATGGGTAAATCGACTGGCAAGAATAGGTACACTATTGCATTCTTGTTATGCAAGATCATAAATCGTTTTTCTGATATGTCGCCTTATTTTTCTCAATGTTGTATTTGTCACCCATCTCAAACTTGTCTCTGTGCCAGGTTCAATGTTCAACTGCATTCTTCCTGAAGGCCTTAGATCTGCAGTTGTAAAACACGATCCGAATTACGAACCGCAAGATAGTGAGAAGAAGAGACTGAGATTTTCCTTTAGTTGCCTGGCTTTTGTGTCGAGGCAGCGGAAATCTTTACAACTTCAATCGCCCTCAAGAAAATGCCTACTAGCATCATTGGAATCGAAAAAATAGATGGAACAATGATTTTTGTGGAAAGGAAAGTTAAGAATTGGGGTTTTTTCTTTGGCATTTTGAGGGCATCCCTACCAAGCTCCAGAAAAAAGGCTTTTGATGGTTGAAGATTTGTTTTGGTGTTGTGTTGTTTCTTTAGGATGTTGTCATGTTTGTAACACAACACTAATGTGCTGAAAATTTGTTATTTTGAGATGTTGATTTATTTATTTCTCTGAGACAGTCTAATGAATGTAAGTGTCTAAATTAATAATAATTTTTTAATTTTTTTAACCAGTGTCCATAGTTTTATTGTTGCCAATAATTGTACAAGTTTTCTTTTCTTTTCTTTTCTTTTCTTAGTGATGTTGAATACTGAAATTTTACGAGGTTGTTATTATTATTAGACATAGAAACCTATTTTTTAGAAGAATAATTTTAAAGAAAATTGAAATGAAAATATCTTAATATGCTTTTTCATTATCAAGTGATTGAAATTTCATGGGGAAAAAAACGATATTAAAATATGATAAATTATTTTATGTTCCCATTTATCACGTCATCTATGATACCGGTAAATCACATCCATCGATTTTAAAATAATTTCTAAATAATCATATTATTGATTGAAACTACAGATGACGTGGTAAGCCGGACCCATCTAATAATTTTCCCTAAAATATACTTACAAAAATGCTGTAAAAATGTAATAGTTTTTCTTAATCTTCTGTTTATTCTATTAGAAAAATTAAATTGTTCAAGTTTAAAAACTATCGTTTTCTAATTTCAATTTTAAATAATTTAGTTAACGTGATATTAAGTAAATAAAGCGAAAAATGATCCACTGATTTTAGTTTTTTATTTTTTATTTTTATAAAGAATTGTTAAATCACTCATCAGATTTCGATTCTTAATATATTCATTTACCTTATCTAGTAAAATTTATTTATTACAAATTTTAAAATATTTTTTCGAAGAAATACAGTAAAGGATAACCAAGAAAAATAAATTTCAGAGAGGAGAACCCAAATAAAAAAAATCAACATTTCAGGAGTAACTGCCCCACTACATTTACAACCAATAATAAAGTAATTAACATAAATAATAGAATCAAACAATGACTGTACAGATGGAGAATCCAAACTAGCTTTGACCAAATAAACCTGCAGGAACCCAAAAAAAAAAATACATTTCAGATTTACAGTAGTCAACTTGCTGTAGGAACCCAGCAAGATACATGGCTTTGAAACCAACAAAAAGGGCCCTAGGCGTGGCTTATATAAGATGATCCTGGCCATACTTTTCATTAATAAAGTTGACAACATAGTTGCAATGGTGTTGTCAGTGCAAACTAAGAAACTCAACTGATAATAGATAAACATGTGGAAGCAAGGTTGAAGAATTTATCAATTGTTTTCGGATGCAAAACACTAGACAGACTATTATTACCATCGAGAGCGGCAATGTATATATTCGCTTCTCAGCCAACCCGATATCCGACAGTATCAAACCACCCTGCAGGCAAGAAAAGAAAAGCAATACTGCTTCAACTCTTCATACCATACCAAGTTCAAGCAACATAAAAATGAAGACAGTTAAAGTAATAGTGTCGTATATACTGTAAGCATCTGATTACCGTCAATGGAGTTGCATTTTATGATTTATCTGAACTGGTTAACATAGAATATTTTCTTAAAAGGCCCTGGTTTAGCTTTTATACTAACCGTTGGGAACAATGTAAGAGACATATCTAAGAGTTCCTGCAAATAACATGACAAAATTTCAAAACAAAGTTGATACCTTAATACAACAGGTACTACAGGTGTTCCAGCTATAAAGGCACCAGTCTTGAATGGGAGGAGGTGTCGTAATCGGTTTTCGCCCGGGTACGAATTTTTTACTTGGCGGGAAAAGTGATGTGAATAAATGTTTTTTGAAAATAATTTGGGAGTCGCCATCGGCCTTTTGGGTCAGGTAGGTCGAATACCTAAAAATTATTTTTTTAAAAGAGTTTTAAGAAAACATCAATTAAAAAAATGAACTGATCTGCGTTTATAACCAAAAATTCGTTCTTTTTAATAATAACAAGGGATTCGTGGTCGGTTACGTTTAGGGAAGGATTAGCACCCCTACAACGCCCAAAATTGGTACTTTTTAATTATAAATTGTCTTTATTATTAAAAATTCAAAATATATTTAATTTATAATCCTATTATTTCAAAATTATATAAAAAATATTTAAAAATATCGGAAAATGACTTCTAGGTGCCTTAAGACAGCTCTTTTCTTTGATATTAATAAATATTAATTTGAATAAAATTAAATAATAATTTTTTATAATATTTAATTTTAAAATACCAGAATAGGACATCCAGTTGTATTAAGACTGCCCTTTTCTTCGATAAATATTAAAATAATTTATTGAAAAAAATAAATTATTATTTATTATATATATATTTATGACTACATAATAATAATAAAAATATTTAAATATATAAACAAATAAAATTAAAACAATAAAAATATAATTAGAACTATATGAAAATATTTAAAATTGGTGACTAGATTATAGTAAAATTAAAATTAAATATCCAATTCTTAATTAATCAAAATTATAGGGATTAAACATGCTATTTTCTTATTTATTAATTCAGTGACTAAAATAAAACTTATCTAAAATTCGAATATCAGATTAAAATAAATTAAAAATATAAACTCGGGATTAAAATATTAATTATTAAAATTAAGGGATTAAATCTGTTATTTACCCTAAATATATTATTTTAATATAAAGGACTAAAATAAATAAAACTAAAATTTAAAGATCAAATTAAAAGGATTATAAATTGATTTAGTGACTAAAATGTAAGAGTTACAAGTTATAATGGCTACGGACGGGATTTAACAATTAAAATTTACACAAATAGTCCTTCCTGAAACGACGTCGTTCGGGAAGGCCTATTTAAGGTCTGAAACGGCTGGCCCGAAGGGCCAGCCTTCATTTCTCAGTTTCTCCTCTCTCTCTCTTCTCTGAGAGAGAATTTTCTCTCTCGCTTCTCTCTAAAACAGAGAGAAGCCAGCCGGCCGGCAGCCGTTCGTCGGTGTTCTTCCGCCACCGGCCACCGCCTTCGGTGGCCGAAATAAAATTTTTTTATACTAAAACATAGATCGGACCGTCCTAATGACGGTTCCGATGGCTTTTTCTTTTAAACGGCTCCCGATCGGAGCAAATCTAAGAAATATACCTTCGGTTTTCGAAGGTTTTGGTGAGGTCCGGTGGTCGTGGCTTCCTCGGTAAGCTTCTTTTCTTTCTTTTTTTTTTCTTCTGTTTCTTTGCTGGTTTGTTGGGTTGTTGTTCTCTGTTTTGTTGTTTTTGCTCTGTTTCTGTCTCTCCGGCTCTGTCTCTTTTTTCGCAGATGGGGTGATGGCTTTATAGCCATCACGGTGTGGCCATCGGACCGGGTAAAAGAATGGAGTCTGGTGAGTCACCGGACTCCCAGTGGTGACTCACCGTTGGGATGACATGTGTGAGGCTGGAGTGGCGGCGAGGCTGAAGATGATGAAACCCTAATTAGTTTTAGGGTTTCGGTTTAACTGGGCCTGGACCAGTATGGGTTGTAATTGGGCCTGGATTTGGGCTTTGTAATATTAATAAATAATTAATAATAATAATAATAATAATAATAATAATAATAATAATAAAAATGGGTAAAAAAAAATTAATATCTTCAGCTGCCCCTCTTTGCTCATTCTTATGTTGACAAGATTAGGGAAAAGACGAAAATATAATTTTTTTTATCCATTTAGCTCCACTTGACTATGATGGAGATGTTGAATAAATTCTTCTCTTTCTTCAGATGAGTTCTTCTCATTATGAACTTTCCGCTGGGGATGATGTTGACCTCTTTCCTTCTGTGATAGAGTCATTCAAAAGGTTGAATAAGCTCTACTCATTATGAACTTTTTCTTTCTTTTTCAGATGAGTTCTTCTCATTATGAACATTCTCTGGAAAGGTTGATCCATCAAGTGATGGATTTGAGAAAAAGGTTGAACAAATTCTTCTCATTATGAATTTCTTCTTTCAGATGAGTTCTTCTTCAGATGAGTTCTTCTCATTATGAACTTCTTCTTCCTTCTTCAGATGAGTTCTTCTCATTATGAACTTTCTCTGGAAAAGCTGATCCATCGAGTGATGGATTTGAGCAAAAGGTTGAACAAGCTCTTCTCATTATGAACTTCTTTTTCCTTCTTCAGATGAGTTCTTCTTATTATGAACTTCTTCTTCTTCAGATGAGTTCTTCTCATTATGAACTTCTTCTTCCTTCTTCAGATGAGTTCTTCTCATTATGAACTTTCTCTGGAAAAGCTGATCCATCAAGTGATGGATTTGAGCATAAGGTTGAACAAATTCTTCTCATTATGAATTTCTTCTTCCTTCTTCAGATGAGTTCTTCTCATTATGAACTTTCTCTGGAAAAGCTGATCCATCAAGTGATGGATTTGAGCAAAAGGTTGAACAAGCTCTTCTCATTATGAACTTCTTCTTCCTTCTTCAGATGAGTTCTTCTTATTATGAACTTTCTCTGGAAAAGCTGATCCATCAAGTGATGGAATTGAGCAAAAGGTTGAACAAGTTCTTCTCATTATGAACTTTTTCTTCCTTCTTCAGATGAATTCTTCTCATTATGAACTCGAACTGGAAAAGCTGATCCATCAAGTGATGGATTTGAGCATAAGGTTGAACAAATTCTTCTCATTATGAATTTCTTCTTCCTCTTTCAAGTAATGAGTTCTTCTCATTATGAACTCTACCTGGAAATTTTAATCCATCAAATGATGAATTCAAACAAAAGGTTAAACAAATTCTTCTCATTATGAACTTCTTCTTCCTTCTTCAGATGAGTTCTTCTCATTATGAACTTTCTCTGGAAAAGCTGATCCATCAAGTGATGGATTTAAATCTTTGCTAAAATCTTTGAAATTCCTGTCAAAATTCAACATGGATGAGAATGAATGAAAATGCACCTATTTTTTTGCAAATGCCTAAATATGATGCATGATTGTTAAGTTATTTGATTTCAGATTGGTGAACTGAATATTTCTTCATTTGTAGAAACCCAATAAATCATTCTTCTTCAAATCAGAGAATCTATCATCTTTGACAAATGTAGATGTAGATATAATGTCACAAAATCTCTTAAGAATAAAACTCAATAGTATAGGCTCTTGAAAAGCTTGCATTAATGCAACATGTTAATTCTGATAACAACTCATCTGATTATGAAGTGATC